GTAGGCTTTCCATGTAGTGGTGGACCTCCTGAGGCAACAGAGGACACCCCTCTGTTGCCACTGTACCACTTGCCTTTATATACAGCAATGTTTTATTCATTTCTATTAGGCCTTGCTCTTCTGAAATGTTAAAAAGACCGAAGGTGTGGTGACAGAAACAGCTTATGTCTTCTACTGGAAGTGATCATTACCCTTTAGCAAATGCTGGTTATGACTATAAGCATTTTTACCTTCGTATATTAAAAGTATAAAAAAATGTTGTTTGCTTTTGGTTTTTGGCTTTTTTCTTTGGTTTAAGTTTACCACTAGGGTTCACCAAAAGCTTTCTAAAAAATAATGTCAGTATCAAGCAGTTTAGTGGATAATGTGCTAGAGTGGGGTGGGTTGTCCGACTTGTAGGAACTTGATCTGCTATTTTTAAAATTCATCTTTGAAAGCAAAGAAAAGGTAAATTAGAACATGTGCTAAATGAAAACAGCTGTAAAGACAGTGAAGTCATAAGATATAAATATATAAAGGAAGATAGTGATCATGTGAGATACCAGATTAAACTTCAGCCATCAACATGGAAAAAGAGGAATTTGCATAAAGATCCCTTTCGCAATAGAAAATGTAAAATAAATTGTGGATAACTACAGGCCTTGAAGTCTTAAAAGTAAGAAAGTGACATATCATCAGTCTATTGAAAGGAGAAAGGTGAAAATGGCTTCTGAAAAATCTTGGCTACTTTGAGCTCTGTAGTGAAATGTAGGTTTGCTGTTTTTACTCCTTACCTCGCCTTCAAAGTAGGAAAGACAAAGGTAAACGCAGCCAAAAGAAAGGTACTCCCAGTGTGGAGCCTGGGGTGGGGGAAGAGAAGGCAACCCAAAAAACTTTGACTCCTTATATCATTGGCCTATGGAGCTCTTCCAGCAGATGTCCTGCCTTTTCCTTGAAGGAAATGGAGAACTGCTAGACGGCACTGTGCACTGAAAGTGCAGCACGCTCTGCTGTAATGCATCAACATCACTTCTTGTGACAGTGCTTGAAATCTTGAGGTGTTGCTTCCAAATAAGATGAGAAAATGGATCCTCACACACACCCACCTTCTCTTGTTTGTTGAAATGATCTCCTTTTTATTTTTGGGAGCTGCTGCTCCATCAAATAATACATGTGCAGGGCCTCAAACTAGTGTTTGACTGGTTTGCGCTTGATGAAATTGGACTGCTCTGGGGCCATAAAGCCACAATTCTCTATGCAAAACTGGCATACTTGAACTTTTGGCACTTGTGAAACTTTTAACAGCATTTAAAATAGGCTTTTCTTACTGTATGGAGCCTTATTAGTACTGGAAGAATATCTTCTGTTTGGCTCTTTTTTTTTTTTTGTACAAATGACAGGAACTTAACAAATCTGGCGCTCTCACAAGAATATTAATTAAACCTGCAATCAAGATTGGGAAGAGACAGGATAGAGAAATCATGTGTGAGGCTGTAATGGAGATCTCTGTATTGGTACAGAAATATTCAGCCTCTTTAAGGGACTGCTTTGAGTGACCGGTGTCTTGTTTTACTAGTGTCCTCACCTCTTCATTTAGTTAGATGCTGTTAGATACTGCAGTTGCACAGGCAAGTAAAGTGTTGGAGAAATGGTCTGAATGGATAGTGAGACTGCAGAGGGACGCATAACTGCTGTAGTAGCTGTATGGGCTGGTGTGTCTGTTCAGTATGAGTCAGGGCATGGAGAAAGGGCAGGTGGGGCTGGGATGTATGTTTGCACATCTGCTTGTGCTCGGTCGTCTTTCCCAGTGCGTCTTTGCTCTTCTCTTCTCCCCCGAATAGGCTTCCTTACTATTCTGGATAAATGGGCAGAGAAGTACAACTGCTACTTTGTCCTAAAGGTTTGTAGACAAAGCATAATCGAAACCTGTTGGTGGGATTTTGTGAAGAAGCTTGCACTGCCGATTGCTGCGCTGCATCTATCGGTTGTGTGTGTAAAGAGTGAACTTTAATTTCCGCTGTGCTGAGTCTGGAGCTTTCACAAGCACTAAATTCTGCTGATAATCTGAACTGGGGATGATGGCTGGGAATTAACCACAGCAAAGGCTTATCTGGCTGCTGGGTATGGTACCTTAAGCCCATATCTCCTGTTTTTCAGAAAACTGATAAAGTAGCAAATAGATGAGGTGTGAAGGTAGTTCTGAGAAAGTCAATAAATAGCCGGAAGCTACAATTTAATAAGTGTTTGGACGTATCTGGCTCAAATAGCTTATATATTTTAACTCTCTTAAAAGTGATAGATGGAACCTAAATCCATATTCCCTGTGGCATTTAGGTATCAGGAGAAATAAGTGGAAGCAAGGCATTTGAAATCAATAAATTGCTTCTAGGTACAACTTAATGCAGACAGAATTTAGAGGAAAAAAGATTGTGAAACAGATACAGGAATAAAATTTAGCTTTAATTTGCAGACTACAGCAAAACTCTAATCCTGGCTCTTGTGAAAATGAATGGAGATTAGGGAGTTACGCAAGTGAGGAAGTTCAGTGCCATGGGCCAACTTATACAGAATAGGCGTACTGAAAAAGTAAAAAAATCTGTGGAGTAAAGCTGCTCTCCAGATTAATAT